GAATATAATCAATTGATGAATTTGAATGTAAAGAATTTTTACATTGGAGAAATATAAAGATAATATAACTAATAAAAGTATTTCTCTTAATTAATTTATTGATAAGGAATAATTTTTTTTTAATAAAGACATTGTAGGGACAATGTAGTGAATATAATCAATTGTTGAATTTGAATGTAAAGAATTTTTATATTGGAGAAAAATAAAGACAATAGAATTAATGAAATTATTTCTCTTATTTAATTTATTGATAATGAATAATTTTTTTGAATAAAGACATTATAGACACATAATTCAAAATTAAATAAATGCATATGTATTATTTTTTGTTGTAGCTACTAAATTATTATTTTTAATTTAGTAAGAGTAAAATAGAGTACTAATTATGAAAATTTTGATTGGGATGAGATTCGAACCTAAGACCTTTCTTATTGAAATCAATGAGTAAGTTAACGGTGAACTAATAGAAACTAACGGAGAAAATAATATTTAACGGAAAAGTTAACGGATAATCATATAATTAAGGATAAATTAGTAAATCTCAAGAAAAAATTAAAATATGATCAAATCTGAGCCATTCATTTGATTAAAAAATTTGACCGCCATTTTTTCTACCCATTATAGGCCTAACTCTCTTGGGCTCTTATTAGTATATATATATATATATAGTAGATATTTTTTAAATTTTTTCATGGTATTAATAAAATACTTGGTAAATAAATATATAGCATTATTTTGTATTATAACTTTGATATTTAATTAGAAAAATAGTGCACAAAAAAGATAATAGACAATGTAGTGAATATAATCAATTGATGAATTTGAATGTAAAAATTTTTACATTTGAGAAAAATAAAGACAATATAACTAATGAAAATATTTCTCTTAATTAATTTATTGATAATTAATAATTTTTTTTCACTGAATTAAGACATTGTAAGGACAATGTAGCGAATATAATCAATTAATAAATTTGAATATAAAGAATTTTTATATTGTAGAAAAATAAAGACAATATAACTAATACAATTATTTCTCTTATTTAATTTATTGATAATGAATAATTTTTTTTGAATAAAAGCATTGTGGACACATAATTCTAAATTAAAGAAATGCATATCTATAATTTTTTGTTGTAGCTACTAAATTATTATTTATATAATTTAATAAGAGTAAAATAGAGTACTAATTATGCCAACTTTGATTGGGATGGGGTTCGAACCTAAGACATTTTTTTTTTGTTTTATTGAAATCAATGAGTAAGTTAACGGTGAACTAACGGCAATTCTTAAAGTTTTAACGGAATTAGTAACGGTGTGTGGGTATTTTAGAAAATTCTAGTGTAAAATTTAAATCTTATCAATCTTTTAATCAATCTGAGCCATTCATTTGATTAAAATCTGTGACAGCCATTTTTTCTACCCATTATAGGCCTAACTCTCTTGGGCTCTTATTAGTATAGTAAAATAGTAGATATATATATATATATATATATATATATATATATATATATATAACAATTTTCCAAACGTTTTCATACATATACATTTGAAACCAAGAATAGTGTACTAAGAGGCATAGTTTATAAACTTTAAAGATAGGATTTTCTTGCAAAAATAACACTCATTTCTTTGAAAATATAATTTTATAACACTGCCCACTTGATCAGATTTAACAAAAAATACACCAAAACACATGGGATGAAATTACGGAACGTATAGAATGTATAACGGGCTCCAAGGGACCTACTCACCATGAGGCAGACCCGTTACCCTCGCAGGGCTAGGTGGCGGGCTGATGGAGCCCGTCACCCTGAATCGTAAACTCCACGCATAACAAGCTAAGACGAACCGATCCGCACGGACTGTAAGACCAATCAGGAAGGAAGTGAGACCCGTCGGCGAAAACTCATCGAGGAAATTGGAAGAGCGACTGAACCAGCCTGTCGAAAGCTTAGATACACCGGATGAGAGGAGGAGTCAGGCAGGTGGAGCTGGACGAGAGGAGGAGCCAGATAGCTAGGACCGAGAGAGTGCTTGGACAAGAGGTGGAGTCAAGCGGTGAAGGACAGATGAGTGGAGGAATCAACCAGGATGATCCGAGTGGATGATGGAATCAGGCGGCTAAGACCGGGTTGGGTTAGTAAAGTAGTCAACCAAGATGAACCGAGTGGGACGCAGACCCGGGGCCGAGTGATTGAAGGAGTCAGTGAGAGGTGACCGAAAGGGGAAGTGTGTGAATGATCTATTGAGTTGAGTTATTAATGTGCAATTAATGAGATTTAATGCCAATAACGAAGCACTTCATGGGGGAGAGCAACGAGCCGACAATGAGTAGTGGATAGTTATGTCATTTATTATTCATAATTAGTTCATTTAATGTATTAATTAGAGGCTGAGTGCAACGGTCACTCGTGCTAGTATAAAAAGCCTTCATAGGTCACTATAGAGGGGGTTAAGCATTCTGAATATGCACAAGAGATCTTGTGAGCACATTTTGAGTGTCTTTGCTATTTTCTGGTGAACCGCCACCTTTTCCGGTTGTGTTGGACCACCGGTAGACTACTTTAAAAGTCTATACACCAACAGCGGGCTTCACCGCCCCACCACTCACTCCCGTTTCCTTCTTGCCGCGGGGCTTGGTCACAGGTGCCACTAGATTTTCAAATTAAATAACACCACAAAACATTCAAACTTCATGCTAATAATACATTTTCCTCAAAATACAACTCAATATACATGTAATAATTTTGTGAAGATCAATACAACACAAAATAAGATATCCATTGTGTTTTTCAAGCAAAATACACTCATAAGATAGATAGCCGTCCAAGTATGAAAATGAGGTGTTTTCACTACAAGAAAAATACACATAGACAACACTACAAAGAAAACAGTTTTTAACAAAAGTGTTGTCTTTTGTTTAAAAGACAATAGTTTTGTCCAAAACCGTTGTCTTTGACGCAACACTTTTGTCAAAGACAATGGTTTTTACCTAACCGTTGTTATAAGTGTGTTCTCTTTGTGCATTTTGTGAAAAGACAACACCACAACGACAATAGTTTTTTAAAATCGTTGTTTATGTGCATTTTTTAAAAAAGAAAATGGTTTTATTTAATTGTTGTCATTAGTGTGTTGTCTTTAAGCGCACTTGAATACACAACACTACAAAGACAACGATGTTTTAAAACCATTATCTGTTCGTGCATTTTTTTAAAGACAATGGTTTTATTTAACCATTATCGTTAACGTGTTGTCTTTAAGCGCACTTGAATACACAACACTACAAAGACAACGATTTTTTAAAATCATTGTCTTTGCGCAGTCTTATTTTTTTAAGACAACAGTTTTATTTAACCGTTGTCGTTGGCGTGTTGTCTTTAAGCGCACTTGAATACATAGTGCCAACACTATAAAGACAACGGTTTTTTTAAACCGTTGTTTTTGCGCGCTCTTTTTTTTTTAAAAAAAAAAAACGGTTTTTTTTTAACCGTTACGTTGTCGTTGGTGTGTTGTCTTTAAGCGCACTTGAATACACAACATTACAAAAGACAACCGTTGTCTTTGCGCGCTATTTTTTATTTTTTTAAAGGACAACGATTGTTTAAACCGTTGTCGTTGGGGTGCTGTCTTTAAGCGTACTTGAATGCACAACACTACAAAGACAACGAGTTTTTTAAACCGTTGTCTTTGCGCACTCTTTTTTTTTTTTAAAGACAACGGTTTTATTTAATTGTTGTCGTTGGCCTGTTGTCTTTAAGCGTACTTGAATACACAATATTACAAAGACAACGGGTTTTTAAGACTGTTGTCTTTGCACAGTCTTTTTTTTTAAGATAACGGTTTTATTTAACCGTTGTCGCTGGTGTCTTGTCTTTAAGAAAACTTGAATATACAATTCTTCAAAGATAACTGTTTTTTAAAACCGTTGTGTTTGTGTGGTTTTGTTTTATTAAGACAACAATTTTGTTTAACCGTTATCATATGTGTGTTGTCTTTTAATATATTCTTTTGCTAAACCTAAACATCTTTTCTTCCCATACTTCACAAAAAATTTCCTCTTTTTTGCCTCTCCAGACTCTGTCGCCACTGTACACACTTGAGTATTTTTCAATTTTTTTCAAAACACTTTCTATCGTCGCCTACCATTGAACATTGTTGTCGCCATCAGCATCTCCATCGCTGCCTAGCTCCACCGTCGCCGCCTATTGTGTCCGTCGCCACCCAGCAATCGCGATGCTCGGACCTCACATTGCCTAGCCACCCAGTGTTGTCGGTCGATGCCCCGCTCATTGGTCGCCCAGCCACCCAGCGACCTAAGTGCACACAACTTTAACAAGAACATGAACTATGTGGTTCACTCATCCACACACATGACAAATTGAGATGCTACTAATAATAAATATTAAATCCTGCATTGTAATTTAACTTATTTAGGTCGCTCATAGTTGATTAGCTCAAATCAAGAAAAACTAATAATAATATGTTTTTTTCAGTGTAACCAACTTGAGTTGGGTTGTCCCCTTATTACACATGACACATGTACTGGCATATATATATATATATATATATATATATATATATATATATATATATATATTTGTTGAAAAAATCGCTAGGCACCTGGAGACTGTCTAGGCACAATTTTTACAACACTCTTTTATATATATATATATATATATATATATATATATATATATATATATATATATATATATTGTGAGTGTACTTAAAAGGCTCACTATTTTAATGTTTAATATGCGTAACTGCACAACTGCACGGGAACACTTCCTGGCTAAACATTAAAATAGTGCCTTTTAAATACATGCAATATATGCAGTTGTGCAGTTACGCATATTAAACATTAAAATAGTGAGCCTTTTAAGTACACGCACAAGAATTGTGAGAGCTCTAATTTATAAAGCAGATTTAAGAAGTGATTTGGATGGTATCCCTATAACTTCAGGAGGCTCAAGAGCTGTGAATTTCTTCATCTCCTCTTCAAAAGAAAACCGGCACAAGCACGCCGTCCTCGCCGTCGCTATTCCGGTAGCGAGCATGATTAATCTTAGTTGCTGATCCTGCGCCATCCATGGTCCCTCCATACACTGGTTTCCCCCATCCAAAATCCATTTCAGAAAACCCTAATCTTGACAAATCACTAACAAGAAAACTGCTACGTGACCTCAACAATGGCGGCCTTCCCTTCGAACCCATAAAGTTAACCTCCCACCTAACATAATCTTCACTCACTCTACTCTTCGCTTTCTCTATCAACTTCACGACATACTCCAACGAGCTATCACATAATAATCTCCCAGACTTTGCCACCGCCGCCGGAAACACCACCGCGTTGCCGTAGTAGCCGTCGCGCAGCTCAGGTGGACCTTTGTTACGTACATTCATCGTGCAATGGACGGCCACGGCCTCGTCGCCGTCGAACTCTAAGGCTCGTGTTCGACATATCCATATGCAAGCATTAATCATGTCGAACTTTGAGGTTGGTCGTTTAGTCTGTGGTGGAAGTTTTTGGGGAATGGCTTTCATCTCTTTGGGGCCAAAAAAGAAAGAATGGCTAACCAAGTTGTCGGGATTATTTATTGTTGAGTTGTGGGCGGCTGTGTCGTGTTGGGGATAATGGTCATAGGTAGTACGGGGAAGATGTTTTGCAGTCAATAGTTCTCTTTTCCAGACAGGTTTAGTTGAAGGTGAAGATGCGCCCTGCGCAAACTCTCCCACAGCCTTCACAAATTGTGCTAAACCTAATCCATCAGCTAGAATATGGTTTACACGTATAGCCACCACGAATCCTCCACAAATCAACCTCGTAACCTGTACATTTATAAACCACATTAATGTCTAAACTAATAATTAATCTCGACCAAACAAAACTTTGAGGTTTATTAACCTGGCTTAATTATGCAATTAAGTCACTAGGCAAACATGACTTGTGACCGGGCAAAAGATAAAAGAGATAAATTATCTTAAGGGGCAGGGCCGATTTTTAGATACTATAAGACTTGCGACCAGGCAAAAAATCAAGGAGATAAATTATGTTAAGTTGTCTGATGGAGGTAGGGCCGGTTTAATAATGTGGTGAAGCTGGAGTAACACGCAAGATTCAAACTCTTAATCTCCAAGATGAAACACTAAATACACGTGTCTTTACCATTTTTTAATGGAGTCTTTTAAGATTAATTGCATCTTTTAATTTTTTTAATCTCTTAATTAACTAGCTAGGTAAAAATTAAATATTTGGTCATTTAAAATATGAGGCCCGGTGCTGTTGGGCTGTTTGCACAGCCCAAAATCCGGCCTTGGATGGAGGTGATCAATGAGGTAAATTAGTCTAAGGTGCCCATATATAATTAAATGACCCAAACCAAATTTTAAGGTTACCAAGTCAACAACATGAATTGATCAAAACTATCAATTTGGTTGGGGTTTACCCCTACATTTTTTTGGGTGACGAGCGAAATCCGCAGCCACTACCCGTGATTGTGCACTGGATAAATCCCGCCTTGAGGAGGTAAACCAATATCATGAGTAGGGGCTACTCGACCGAGTTAACTCGGTTAACTCAGTCAAATTGGACGAGTTAACTCGACGAGTTCACTGTTAACTTGGCGTAGTCGGGCACCTAGACGGTGGCCTAGGGGTAATTCGCCTCGGTCTAGGGGTGGCTAGTGCCTAGGCGGCTGCCTAGACTTGTTCTTGTAATAGTAACCTATAAATTGCCCGTAGCTGACCGATTCAAACCAAAAAGGTTGACATTCAAACTAATGATGATCAGATCTATCTGCTGGTTACAACTGTATATTTCTAGTCATTTTTACTAGGGTTATCCCTACCACTACATTTTTTATTTGTTCTTATCATCTTATGAGTGTAACCATGTGGCCTTGGTTAAAATCGATGTAACTGGGTAGATTGTACGGGTACGAAAGATCTAGACACCAATACTAATGGATCAGCTCATCAATCAGCTGCTGAAGAAGCATGCATAAGCAAATTAAAAATACCTGAACAACCATCAATGGGCAACCAAGCATCTCATAAGAGCCAGGCACTTCATACAAGAGTTCTTTGGAATACAAACATGGCGGTTTAACAGCATCACCCAGATCTTCCAAGCTGAAACTGCAATCTGCTTCGATGAACGAAATCCCTTGAGCACTGCAATCCACCATGAACTTATCCTCCTCAGGGCCTTGAATGAGCCGACCTGCAAGAGGGTAGTACCATACCAGGGCTTCAGCTACTGCATCTCTAATGGCTTCCACAGGGTCCTTTGCTTTCATGAGGGGATTTGCCCTATAGAACATGATCATACTGAAATAGAACCTCAGACCTCTCTGGTCATCAATTTCTTATAACTCCTTTATTTCTTGGGGAGTAGGCTTGGCTGGTCCCAGGAGCTCTGGTTCCTTATGACTGTTGGAAAGCGTTTACATTGGTGAGAAGCAGAGAGAGAGAAGCGGTGCTGAGAAGATGAAGAAGAAGGATCGAGAAGCAGAAAAGGAAAGTGATATTATTGATGAAGATACATTGGTTTATATATGGGAAATATATATGGGAAAATAAAAGAATAAAAGAGGAAGCGAGGATATCATTATTTTATCCTCCAACACCCCCCCGTAAGCTGGAGCGTGTAGATCATGCACGCCCAACTTAAACACAAAAGAATTGCACAATCCAGAGGTCTTTGCTTTTAACCACCAAGTCATCAAGCTTTCGATCACAAAATTCCTACTGTTGACTCTTCAGGACTAAGGATGATAGTAGCAGATGAAACCTTGATTGTTCGACCAGCAATCTCTGCATTTTCCATTCAAACTCTGTGCTGCCTTAGCATGTTCAAGTTGAGTAAATTGAACAAAGCCAAAAACTTTGCAATGTCTTGTTTCTGGATTGGTAGGTAGCTGCACAAGCTCAACTAGACCAAAAACTTCAAAACATAGTTTCCCATAAGCACAAACAATAGCATCTCTGGCTATCCAGTGTTCTAGATCATCAATTGATCCACCAGATACTATTATTGCTTCTAAGCTGGACAGTCCATTTCGGAGATGATGCTTAAATGTTTCTCTATCAAACTCAACATATTTACCGATTGCACAGGCAGCCATCTGTTGAATGTGTGGATTTGAATGATCCTTGCAAGCTTCGAACAGGAGTGGAATGTATTCTGCATACTTCCTTAACACATGTTCTCCGCCTTCCTTTGCAATGTCACTCAAAATATTTGCCAAAAGCCGTTCTTCTTTCTCCAGAGAAAGTCGGTTCAGAACCTGCAGAATTGTCTCAGAATTGTCTTGCGCCATTGAGAGATCAGACATGTCATCATAAAATTCAATATAACCTTTGTTCTCGCCCTAGTATCCCTGCCAAGGCAGCCGTCCACGGAGAAGGAAGACGAGTGTATAAGCAAGGGACTCTAAATCATCTCTTCGGCTTGCAATCCTTCCATGATGAGCATGCACACTTGCATAACATATTGTCCCTCTGAAAGCATCATAACGTTGACCATATTCAACATGTACGCCTGTTGTAGTATCACGCCACCTTGTAGCCAAACCAAGATCAACAAGGAACAACTTTTTCTCATCAGGTTTTCCAAGAAGAAAGTAAGGTGGTCCATACTTACAACCTTTGCTGCTTCTATGCTCAAATTTCAAGGCTGATTCAGAGTCCACAGTTTGAATAGGAACACTTCCAAGCGACAAAGAATCCAAAGCATCTAAAGTTAGCTGCCAACCACAAAGAGCACGAACACCAGCACTGCAACTGGAAGCCAAGATTACAGAGCTCTTCACAATCTTGTCTACATCAACAAACATCTTTTTCTTCACAGATTCAGACTCCACAATAGCCTCAATAACAATATCCACAGACTGGAAATCTTCCAAATTCTGAAAATCAAAAATCAATAGGAACTTCCTATATATTCTCAAAATAATACTGCTTAAACGATCCTCGAGGCCTAGAGTCTGGTGAATGTGATAAGCCCTGTACAATGGCGTCAAACAGAACCCCAACATTCCAATATAAACGCAATCACTGAGACTGAGTCGACTCTGCTTCTCGGCTTGCCGTTGCTTGATTCTAAGTTCCTCTTCTCTTTGCCTCGCTGTCGAGGCTTGTCCGATGGCTAACTGGACTAAAATCCAACTAACAACTCGGATCTCAACTGATTCCTGCACCAGCTTGAAGAACCTCATCAACTGATTCTTCTCAGGAAAGCTCAAACTACGGTCCTTGAAAATCGCACTGCGCGAATCAAGCACATTGGCCAAATTGCCGTCTGGACTGATCGGAATCCTCTGCGGATTGATCGGAACCGACGGACGAACTCCTTTCCGCTGTGGAACGGCTACGGAATTTTGCTTCTCCGAACTCAGATTCCTCTGCGGAATCCTTGGTGATGTTGATCGGACTGGCGCGTCGGCATTGTTGTTACTCTGCGTAACAATAATTCTCTCCATCGCCTGGAATGGAAGGAGATACATCAGCTTATTCAACTGCTCAGAGATGCCTAGATCATCTGAGTTGAGGCTCCTGTGAGCACGATTGATCGAGTTCCTCTGCGGAACTGAACGATTGATCGAGTTCCTCTGCGGAACTGACTCTGGAACAATATGAGAAAGGAATCGCACGAATAGAGATTGTGCGATCGGAGTGGTAGCCAGCGTCTCCTGCTTCACGCCGGCGACGGTAGAGACGGCGGCGGCGGCGTAGGATCGCGGCTCTGATACCATGTTGGAAAACGTTTACATTGGTGAGAAGCAGAGAGAGAGAAGTGGTGCTGAGAAGATGAAGAAGAAGGATCGAGAAACAGAAAAGGAAAGTGATATTATTGATGAAGATACATTGGTTTATATATGGGAAATATATATGGGAAAATAAAAGAATAAAAGAGGAAGGGAGGATATCATTATTTTATCCTCCAACAATGACAAACAACAAAAGATTTTTTTGCTGTCATTTCAATTTTCTTCTACTTTGAAACTTAGCTTGAAGTTTCTGGTGTGGGTGTATATGTAGAGCCAATGATATGATACTTTTTCTTTTTTTTTTTTAGAAGTTATTAAACATTTTAGGATTAGTATGTATAAAGATAGCGAAACATATTGAATGGACGGAATAATTATCCACAACATAGTTACACTGTACTATATTCTTTTCACATTTCTATTTCTTTAGTAGGTCGAATTCAGGATTTTGTCATTAAAACATGGTGCTAATATTAATATTCTGTTACTAATATTCATGGAGCCCCGATGGAAATAATTGCTGAAACCCTTTCGGAAAGATCCTCACCAACGGCGATCAATCGATCGCCGGAGGATCAAGAAATGTTTGTAAGAAGTGCTAAGAAGTCGAAGAGAAACAGGAGCGTGCTTGAATCTTCATCACCATCCAGATTGGGGGGAGGAGCCCGGGAAATCCCAGATGCATTCGATATGAAATCGCCCGAATCCGCCCAGTGGAAAACCCCGGCGGACACACCCAACAAATCTTGGTCAGGATTGTTCGCAACTGATCAGAATGACACTTTTGAAGTATCGGATGATGAAGGTATGGAAGACGAGGGAGACCCTACCTGCCCGGTTATCCCAATTACCAGAGAGGAGAAGGAACGTATCCGACGCCCTTGGAGAAGATCGTTAATAATCAGAGTGTTTGGTAGGAGAGTAGGCTACGCTTACCTTGTTCAAAGGCTCCAGAAGCTATGGAAACCAGAAGCCACGTTCGAATTAATTGCTCTGGAGAACGAGTATTTTATCGCCAAATTTGAATCAATGAGGGATTATGAAATTGCCAAGTACGAAGGACCATGGGTCATTCTTGATCACTACCTTACGGTGAAGGAGTGGGTGCCCAATTTCGATCCAAGAAACAATGTAACTGAGAAGATCCTTGCCTGGGTTAGATTTCCGACGGTATCAATCGAATACTTCGAAGAGGAATTTCTTATGAAGATTGCCAGGAAAGTTGGTCGTCCGGTGAAAGTAGACTACTCTACGGGTCTAATTTCGAAAGGAAAATTGGCCCAGGTATGTATTGAAGTTGATATCTCAAAACCATTACTGGCAAAATACACATTGAGTGACACCGTTTGGCCGATAGTCTGTGAGGGGCTCTATCTAATCTGCTTTGGCTGTGGATTCTATGGTCACAAGTCAGAGAACTGTGCCAAGAACGACCCCGTTGACAATAATATCCCGAGGGAGGATGTAGCAGAGCAAAACAACGTAAATGCCCAAGCAGAGGGTACCACCCAAGGCCAGACGACCCTGGCAAAGAAGCTGAACCAAGAATACACTAGTAGCTATGGACCTTGGATGCTAGTACAGAGAAAGGAGAGACGCTACCAGAGAAAGGAAACCAATAAATCCGGAAATGGGCATTATCTGCCCCCAGGAAATCAAAGCAGAGGACCAATTGGGGGAGAAGCTCCAGAGGTGGAAGGAATGGGCAATTAGTCAAGCTTCGCCCCTCTGGCGGATCTTGAAACTAATGAGAACGAACCAAGGCAGATTAATCAAGACCCCAAGGAAGTCACACAGGTCATCCAAAACACCATTGAACCAGTCTAACCACCAATGATGGTACTCCCTAGAATCAGAACAAATACCCAGCAGTTTCAAACACCAAGACCACAGTCGTTTGCGGGTAGCTCTCAAACGATCAGACCACTGTGGCCACAGCCAAGGGTCCCATTCCACGCCCATCGCGGAGCTGCTAGGGGAAGAATAGGCAGAGGTGGTACACCGAAAAGGGCGGCAGCCGAGGAGGAGCATACGGTCGTTCGTGGTTCCAACCATGGCAAGGACATATCCAGAAGAGTGATCCACCATGCTATCGATCCGAACGAGATTCCACCAATGGTCGTCCTTGAGAGCATTGATAGAAATGACCCTCCAGACATTGCAGCAGTCCTCGTTAGGCCGTCCGAACCTCCAGACATTGCAGCAGTCTTCGCTAGGCCGCCCGAACCTCCTGACGAAGCAATGTCTGAGGCCGAGAGAAGTGATGGCCTTAATGGCCCTGGGGCAATTGCCCCCCGTCGTTCTTGAACATTTGTTTCCATTTGTCTCTTTGCGTCTTTGGACGTGTTTGTTTTGCTTTCCTTGTTAATATGATCATTATGTCTTGGAATTGCCAAAGGGCGGCCTCACGAGCGTTTGGCCGTACCCTGAAAATGTTCATCCGAGTTCATAACCCGGATATTGTTGCATTGCTTGAACCCAAAGTATCTGGTTCGCAAGCTGATAGCATCTGTTCGTCCTTTAATTTTTCAGATTGGGTTAGAATAGAAGCAGTCGGCTACTCAGCGGGAATTTGGATTTTATGGAAAAATACGTTATCAGTAGCTATTATTCATACTCACCCGCAATTTGTGACATTACAGGTTAACGATAGGATGGACCATCCTTGGTATCTTTCGTTTGTTTATGCAAACCCAATGCCGTCCCTGAGAAGATACTTGTATGCTGATCTAATAGGACCAGATTCTGCCTGGCTGACAATTGGAGACTTTAATTCTGTAGCTAGTTCTGAGGAAGTGAGCAACCCAGCAACTTACTCAACAATTAGGAGCTCAGAATTTACCAACTGGATTTTCCGGGAAGGTCTTGTCGATCTAGGTTATGAGGGCACCAAATTCACTTGGATGAGGGGGCTGCATTCAACCACCTTTAAAGGCGCAAGACTAGATCGAGCTCTTGGAAATACTGAATGGTCCTTGTTATACCCGGAAGCCAAAGTTAAGCATCTCCCCATGGTACAATCTGACCATTGCCCACTGCTTATTACTACAAGAATACCCCAAGCTACGACCAACACCGCAAGGTTTAGATATAACTTGATGTGGGCTGCGCATCCGAAATTCCATTCGACAGTACAGGAAAACTCGGACCAAAATGGAGATATCGAATCAAACAAAGCAAAAATGGCTATAGCTTTAAGAGAATGGAATAAAGTTGTTTTTGGGAATGTGTTCCTCAAGAAAAAGAGGGCCTTAGCAAGGATTAGCGGAATACAAAGAAAATTAGTGGATCGTGTTAGTACCGAACTACTAAAGCTTGAAAGGGAACTGAGCATAGAGTTAGAATAAATTCTCTTCCAAGAGGAGTTACTATGGTTCCAAAGATCAAGAGAAGAATGGATAGTGTCCGGGGACCGAAATACAAAATTTTATCACATAGCCACAAAGATCATGAACAACTCTGCAAAAATCTCCAGATTAAAGGATGATAATGGCTTATGGATTGAAGATACTGCAAAAATTAGGGACCATATTTCTAGTTACTTTATAGAATTGTTTGCTAAGGATCCAACGATACCAAGTCAACCCATCATTCAAGACCGCTTCCTAGAATTGAGCGAAGAAGACTAGAGGTTAATAAACAAGCCCTTTGGAGACGAGGAAGTCAAAGCAGCCATATTTGATATGGATGCATCCAATGCACCTGGCCCCGATGGATTCACTATAGGATTTTACCAAACATCTTGGAATATAGTGGGTAAATCTATGTGCATATTTGCAGCCAAGTTCTTCACCAATGGCCACCTTCCGGAAGGCAGCAACGATACACTTATCACTTTGATTCCCAAAATTTCCAAACCGGAAACAGTCAAGCAGCTCCGTCCTATTGGATTGTGCAATGTATCCTATAAAGTGCTAACCAAGATGATGGCAAATAGGCTGAAAGAAAGCTCCAAAGTTCTAATCGGACCCCACCAGACCAGCTTTGTGCCAGGGAGGCAAATTATAGACAATATCCTAGTTTATCAAGAAATTCTAAATTCAATGAAAATCAAGAAAGGGGCTACAGGCTGGATGCTAATGAAGATTGATTTAGAGAAGGCTTATGACAGACTCGATTGGGAATTTATCCTGAATACCCTCAGTATTATTGGCTTCAACCAAACATGGATTAGAAATATCATGACTTGTGTAACTACATCCAAGTTAGCAATTACCTGGAATGGAGAACAATCGGAGTGGTTGGTTCAATCCCGGCCGAGGAATCAGACAGGGAGATTCCATTTCCCCTTTACTCTTTGTTTTATGCATTGAGAGACTTAGCCATTTAATCCATGAATCTATTAATGTTGGTCGTTGGAAAGGCATCAAACTTAAAAGGAATTGTCCACTAATTAGCCATCTCTTTTTTGCAGATGATATGTTACTATTCGGAGAAGCCTCCCTTGCTCAAGCCGAGGAAATGAAGAGGTGTTTAGACACATTTTGTTGCTGCTCGGGCCAAAAAATCAACTTTCACAAGTCTACTGTGTTCTTTTCAAAGAACACACCACAGGATCTTCAGGAAGCAGTATCGGAGGCAATAGGAATTCCGAGAGTAACAGATATGGGCAAATATCTTGGAGTCCCTTCAATACATGGCAGACTCACAAATGAAACATTCTCGGACATCCTTGACAAAGTACAATCCAAGCTAGCAGGATGGAAATCTAAGCACCTCTCGCTGCCCGGAAGGCATGTCTTAATCCAGTCAGTCCTTTCTTCTATCCCCTATTTTGCTATGCAAACCACCTTACTGCCAGCAGGTATAACCTCGACCATTGAAAAATTAATAAGAAGATTCCTTTGGGGCAACACGGACAATACCAGGAACTGCCACATGGTGAGCTGGGATGTGGTAACAAGAAGTAAAGCCAATGGCGGTCTAGGCATAAGAAGTCTTGAAGAAATGAACAAGGCCTTTTTGGCTAAGCTCGGCTGGAGATTGGCAAATGATGATAAATGCCTCTGGTCGAAAATAATGCAAGTAAAGTATTCAGCATCACCAGCAGATCTTTCAACGTGGAAGCCGAAACCTACAATGTCGAATGCATGGAAAGGTATCGTGAAAACATGCCCACTTTTGAACAAAGGCATCTCCAAATTGGTGAGGAATGGCTCGGCCACTCGGTTCTGGGCTGATAATTGGCTATTAAAAGAACCACTACTCAATCAAGCTAACTCCCCAGTGCCATTAATCGATTACAACAGAACTGTAGCGAGTTACTGGACAGAAGAGTCTGAATGGAAGTGGAATGAATTAGATCATCTTCTGCCAGCTGAAATACTTGACAAACTAGCAGCAGTAATACTCTGTGAAGATCCAAATGCAGTTGACACCCTGAGCTGGAGCTATGAGGAAAACGGTGACTTCTCAGTTTCTTCTGCTTACGAATTAGCAATGGAGACAGCCCCTCCGCACCAACCAGGTAAATGGGAAAATATTTGGGATATCAAGGCTCCAAACCGCATTAAATCCTTCCTATGGCTTGTGAAACATGCCCGTATCATGACTAATAGTAACAGGTTCAAGAGAGGTATGTCGGACAGTGACAAATGCTGGCGATGTCTAAACCAGATTGAGGATACAGAACATGTTATTCGAACATGTCCAGCAACTGAAGAAGTATGGAAATGTATAGTCCCCGCCACTTTTTCATAACATGTACAGTATACATTCTCCAGCTGGTTGGATAAAGGAATCAAAGGCAGCCTAGGCAGCAGCAATACCCACAAAAACAAGCTAGTATTTGCTATAACAGCCTGGTGGATTTGGAAATGGCGGAACGATGCCATATTCAACGGTAACGAAAAGAACCTATACTCCAAGAGTCAATGGATTGCATTACAGGTCCAGGAGGCGTTAATTGCGTTCGAGAAAGCCAAAGGCACTCACGTCAAGACCACCACATCACAGAGAAGAATCTTTCATTGGAACAAACCCCCGGAGGACTTTGTTAAGATTAATGTAGACGGAGCGGTGGAATTAGCATCAGGCAAAGCAAGCTGTGGGGGTCTTATAAGGGACCATACAGGCCAATGGCGTAGGGGATTTATGTGTAATATCGGAGCCTCACACCCCCTAACAGCCGAAGCTTGGGGAATATGGAAAGGAATTTAATTAGCAGCGGCTATGGGTTTTCCTAAGATTCAGATTGAAAGCGATTCTAGCGAGGCAGTGGCAAGCATTAACAACAATTCCTTCCCGAAGAACCAAGCACGGAATATTCTCTTGACCTGTATGCAGGAGCTCAATCACTTTGTTGAATGGTAGATAATATGGACTGCCCGGGAATGCAATCGCCCAGCAGACGCACCCATAACATCCCAAGAGGACTTTTTTTTTTTATATTATTGAGAAGGGGGAAACCCAAACAAGACAGAACGAACTACTGTACATTATACATGAAGCGCCATGATGGGAAACCAGCAATGTCATCTTCTAAAAAACTCAAAATATCTTCCGGTGGTGACGCTAAAATGTGAACTCCAGGGGGGAAGTTCCTGGAGAAGAATGCTAAGCGATCCGCGACAAAGTTCTGCTCCCTGGCTATTGCCGTAACCTGCCAGTTCTCAAGACGTCGGAGTTCTTTTTTACAGGCTTCAAGAATGTTGTGAGTCGCGGTGCGGGGAGGATTGCTTCCTTTGATATAGTTAATAGCGTTCGTGGAGTCACTTTCAATGATCAAATTGTTACATCCCTTGAATACTGCTAGTTGAATACCCTTTAATATGGCCCATGATTCTGCTTCAAACGGGGTGCAGTTGCCTATATTGTAAGCGAATCCTTGAAGCCAGTTTCCGGAGCTATCGCGGATTAATCCGCCGCAACTTGCTTTGCTTGAATTACCTATGACCGAGCCATCCACATTCAATTTGAAGAAGTTGGCTTGTGGTTTATCCCAGCGTAGGTGGTTCCAAGATGGTGGAGCATGCGTATTCAACCTCCCTGTTGCTTTAGTGAATGCATTATCTATCTCTTCGATCTGTGCTTGGATCCATAATATCTTGAATCCTATGGGTTTAACTGTGTTGCTGAATACTGCCTCGTTACGCCATTTCCAAATCCACCACAATGTCACGAAGAATAGTGAGCTTGCTTTAGAGGGTCTTCTTCCATTACCTTTGTTTATGATGCCTGCTTCCAACCAATTGGAGAAAGGAAGTGCTTTTGTTTTCTCATATGATTCTGGACAGACAGTCTTCCAAAGAGAATCAGCGAATGGACAGAGCCGCAGTACATGTTCCACATCCTCAATTATATCGCTGCAATTCCAACACTTGTTGCAAGTTGTCAATCCTCTTATCTCTCTGTTGCTATTGGTCATAATTCTTCCATGTGTCACTAGCCAGATGAAGGATCTGATTCGGTTCGGGACTTTCAATTTCCAAATGTTGTTCCACTTAGATGGTTCAACCGAGTCTGGAGTACCAACCGCTATGTCATATGCTGTAGATACTGAAAAAATGCCCGAAGTCTCCCTAGACCACGCAATTGTATCTTTTGCTTCCGGATCGTCGATGATCATAAATGCCGCCAATCTGCATAGTAAATCCTCGGGCAGAAGGTGGTTCAGAATATCCCAGTTCCAGCCTCTGTCCGGTATCCAATAACTTGCTACTGTTCTTTCTAGATCCCCTTGTGCCAACTCTTCCAATGCCATCTCTGCTAAGGGCCTATCACTTATCCATTTCTCCTTCCAGAACAGGGTCCCTTCGCCATTGCTTACATGCTTTCTAGTACCCTTCTGTAGGATGTAACTAGCTTTCACAATGCCTCTCCATGCGTTGGAGCTATTTGGTTTAAGTCGCCAGGATGAGCAGTCTGATGCCGAAATGGAGTATTTAGCTTTGAAAATCTTCGACCATAGTCCTTTATCGTCCTGCAACAGCTTCCAGCCCAGCTTGGCTAAAAACGCAAGGTTCATTGGTGCCAACTTGCGAATGCCTAGTCCTCCCGATTGTTTATTCTTTGTTACTATATCCCAATTAACCAAATGGCATTTCCTTTCGCCCTCTTTGCTTCCCCATAGAAAATCTCTAATCAGTTTCTCCATCCTATCAATAAGGCCTACCGGAATCAGTGTGGATTGCATCACGTAATACGGAATTGATGAGAGAACGGATTGAACAAGAATTTGTCTGCCTGCAAAGGATAATGTTTTGGACCTCCATCCAGCTAGTCTTGTTTGCATCTTTTCTAACAGATCCGCAAAGGTTTCTTTTTTTATCCTCCCGTGAATAGAAGGAAGTCCGAGATATTTGCCTAGATCAGTCACCTTTGGGATGTTTACTGCTTGTGTAATTGA